AAATTACCTCAACCAGGTTTAGTACACCTCACATCGAGTTTCCTCTTTCTAATGATACTCGAGATCTTTGATCGGTCTCTTGATTTCTCCTTTTTCAAACAATGCATATGGATCTCAATCTAAAACCACCCACCTAAAGCTTTAATGGTTAGGCCTAATTCAAGCCCCTTGGCTTGATCCTTATGAGAGATAGAAATTAAAAAAAGGGAGAGAAAACTACTAGCTAGGGATGATCTCTTGCTGCCCATAAAATCACATGACCAAAACCTAGCTTGATTTATAATCATGACAGAGATTCAAGCTTAACTAGCCTGGTTTGGACGTCCCCCTTTAGGATAGTTTATGCGTGTGTGTGTGTGTGAGAGAGAGAGAGAGAGAGAGAGAGAGAGAGTGAGTGAGTGAGAGGTAGGCTAAAGTGGGGTGTAACCCCTTAGGTTTCTAGAGAGAGAAAGAATAACCTATGTGGGGCGTGCCCTTTAAAGAAGCTAGAGAGAGAGATTTTATTTTTGAGAGAGAAGAGAGTAAGTAAAAGGTGTAGATATACGGGAGGAGAATGATCAATTTTATAGATTTTTTATGCATTAAGATTTACCATAAAATCATAAGAGCAAATATTGATCGTCGATCTAAAGAGACTTATGGGGTGAGAGATGTGAGTCATCCATTCCCTAGATCCACCATCAAGAAGCTAAGAAAGATGCTAGAACATTATCCTATTCCCATTGAACTAGTTAACTAAGGAAATTATCTCTTTTTACTTTATTTAATAGTAAATATTCATTCTTTATTTTTCAAATCAAACATTCTTGATTAACAAGATATTCTAAAACTCAATATTATTATTCCTTAATACAAGTACGCTTCTCTCCAAAATGAAAAGCCAACTAGTATGAATGCCTGTCACAATATTTAGCATAGAAAATGCAATCCCTTGTGGGTGGGGCGTGCGACCCTTTGGTGGTCACTCATGGGCCCCACCCAATTATCCCATGTGATTTAAATGGGCCTTCAATAATTATGAAAGATCCCACATATTTTAGAAACAATAAAAATTTATTTTTAGAAATTTCTCTTGATTTATAAATCCAAATAACAAAATTAAAATATCATAAGATTCATAAAAACTCAAATAAACATTCGAAAAATCAAATAACATAAAAGTAATTAAATTAAATTAATTTTGATGGGAATCGATTTCGAATAGGTTTAGGATTTAATCAATGCATTGGAGCACGCTACCTTCAACTTTAGGCCATGATCCATAATAGTTTTCTCAAACTGACCCAATAGTTCTTATGACCCACAGTCTATTACAGCGACTCATGATTGAACCGCCAAAGTCAATCAATGGGCTAGGGGATGAAATCTCAATTTGTGGATTTCAGGTTCTCCCATAGAGACAAACCATGATCTATCTGACCATGATGCAACCATGACTCTATGGTACATAGGGAAAAACTCTCGCAGATGTACATGATTCACCCTCAATCTATGTATATGATGTGTGATGATTACAACGATGAGGTTTTAGTTATGTAGCTATAGATGATTCATCACACACAATGGTCACATAGACCCTTAACTCTCATACGGATATACTCCGACCTCATCAAGGGGTAACCCATTAAACCCTCCTTGGTTTCGTCTTTATACCCAGGTACCTAGCAAGTCAAGCGTAGTCTGAGTATCGGCAAATTCAATTTGCCTATCTACAAGATAATCACACTCCCACTGAGTTATGTTTCACTATATACAATGTTCATACAAACTCTCATAAGGCTTTTAAATGCCACATAAACCCAACAAGTCACATTGATAGTATCTCCTCATCTTTTCTTTGAAAAAAACTAAACAAATAAAAATTTTCTATTGTTTTTTTCTTTTTTAAAAAAATAAAATACTAAATAGAATAAATACCAAAGCAAGTTTATAGTAGAGTTTTGGTTCAATGAATTATTACTTTTGATTGGCCAGTTACATTAAAAAAAAATTATAAAAGCAAAATCAATGTTGGAAAGATCGACTCACGTTGAGTACTCAGCCCAAGTTCGAGTAACTCGGCTGAGTTGGACCATGTATTCAGGCTGACTTCAGGCGAAGCCAAAAGATGTTAAAAATAAAAAATACAAAAATTCCAAAAAATAGGAAAAATATGTTTCAAGTAATATTAAACAAAACACATCTAAATAAGGTTAATAAAGTAGTGAAAAATCAATTTTGAAAAAATCAATTTTTGACAAGGAGTTATTCTAGAAATAATCCAAAAGGAGGGAAAAATATAAAAATAAGTATTCGTGGCCAAAAACGCTTTCCAATCTTTTGCCAATACGATAGAAACCACAACAACAACAAAAAAAAAGGATATTAGAAATAAATTTATTTTTGTATTTTTTATAAATTTTTTGAATCTTCTTTCGAAGATCACCAACTTCGACCACCCAACTCGAAAATACTCGAGCTCACCAGGGTGGCAAGTCTGAGTTACTCGGACAGGTCTGAATTGGCTTACCAATGCAACCAAACACTTGGAAAATTATTAAAATATTTACATGAGATGAACTATTTACCATCATACCTGTATTATTTAATTTAATTTTAAAATACTCATAAAAAGAAATGTGATGAGTTTGAATACTACCAAAAGTGCAAAATTGCTAAATAATGCATCTCTGTCGCATATTGTAAAACAAAACAAAATAGTGCGTCTCTCACTGTTTTGCTGCTCAGCCTTCTGTGGGCCCACCGTCGGCTGTATTTGAACAACCACCCACTAATATTTCCTCATAAAATTACCAAAATAACCATCAGGTTCTTTGACTTTTATCGCACTGCCATCCCTTGTCTTACTCTTGACGGTTTTTCATTGCATATTTATCTCATTTTTCTATCCGCTCTTAATATCTCTTTTTAATTGTGGTTTATACGAAGGATAATACTATTTATTTTAGGAATTGTAGTATGGATTTGACATATCACAATTGAATGTGAATTTTAAGGCAAATATTAAATTTATGCCAATCTACATAAATAGACGGTACGGATTGCTACAATAATACTTCTATAAGTAAAATTGATGCTTTATATAAGAGTAATATTCTATAAGACCATCCTCCAACCATGTGTGTAGGAATTCAAAGGATCACCATTAAATTTGGTATGGATCCCTAAAAAAATTATTACATGGGTGTAGGACTTGATTTTGTTAGAGATCCGTATCAAATTTAATAGTGATCCTTTGAAGTCCTATACACATGGGTGGGAGAGAGTCCTATAGGATCATTTCTCCTTATATAAACTATTTTATTTTCTAAATCGTTATGACAAATTTTCACGTATTCAAATTTTTTATTTTTATGAATGTTAATTTGAGACCTCTACCACTTCTACAAATAAGATTGTTATCTTGCATAAACATTTTCGTTGTTACACGTATTTTTATATAAAGAAATTTATCAAAATACCCTTAAGAGATGAAGTATTTAATTTTTTTTTCAATTGTGAAATTAAATCAAAATATACGGGCATTAGAAAATTAAATTGAAATATAGGGGTAAAGTGTTAAAATGTTCATGTCTTGTAGGTAAATTTGATAATTTTCCTTTTCATATAATCACTTTCTTTTTAACAAAAATAAAATTATTGACGTCATACGGTTCATCACCCTTGCTTTCACACAAACTGACTAAATTTTTGTAATAAAAGTTGGTATAAGGTAGAACCTTTATACTATTCAACTAAGGTGCTCCTCAAAAATCCATTAGGAGAGTCGAAGATCCCTTTAATTGATGATTTTGACCTCGATGCATAAATATGAAGACAAAAAGAAATTTAAGTTATTAAATTAGTGTATTTTGTAACAAGTTATATAAACCACTTATTTTCAAGATTTTTTATCAATATTGTTTTTTAAATTTTATAACTGTGCACAAAAATAAAATTTCAAGTCGCTACAAGGTTTCAGACACCAAAACTATATCTTCAAACAAAGTTTAGAGATATATCATACTTCTACATTACAAGGAAGGCACCTTATACAAACCTAACCCCTAAAAATTTTTCTGTTAATAAAAAAAAGAAAATCGGGCAATCAAGTCACTTTCTCCATGCCATTTCTTGATGAGAGAGAGAGTTCCTGGTGTGGTGTCTTAAAGTAGGTTACATGAAGAGAATTTAAGAATAGCATACTCAATGTAAACATGCCACACTTCCATTATTTTATCCTTTTTAAGTTTGGTGGAATCCTTATTTGAATGCTCCTGGATTTTCTTAGTACCCTCAAAATTCAAAATTTCAAATACCCATCCATCATTCCATAATCTCCGGTCAATTTTCCTTTTTTTTTTATTTTTTAAATTTAGAACACCATAGTTGCATTCATGGCCCAGATTTTCGGGTGGTATTTATTTATGGATAAAGTTTCTATAAGTCCTAGGCTTTATAAAAACAAAATAAATCCTCACCAAAAATCCTTCTCTAGAAAGCACTTTCGGCGATGGAAATCTCCATGATGACTCTAAAGTCAATTTCCAACACCGACAATGAGAGCGAAACTTAAAAACAATGTAAAGAAACTTATAAATACCTATTTTTAAGGCAAAATAGACGGTCTAGATAATTTGTTGCAATATACATTATTTTTAGAGCTTAAAGTCCTAATTTTTTTTCACAACCACAATCTTTAAGCCGAGATGATGGATGTAAAGATTTTTCAATGCATGAGTCGTAATTTTCAATGAGTTATGAGGTGAGGCTTTACTTAATTTGATGGGGCTGCAGCTCCATCTACCTATTTTCCTTTAATGCATTAAGTGGTATTTATTAATGTGGTGGCTCTTCTTTGCTGACCAAACAATCAACAGAGATTCTTTCTAACAATAAAAAATGGTTAAGGAATTTGTTTGAATTGATCACCATAGATTTAAATCAATTTAAAAAGACCAGCTTACACAGAAATGGATAAAATAAAGAGAATAAGAAAGGTGCATATAAATAAGAGGACCCAAGCACAAAGAAGAGTCATCAAAGCTTCCCTCTACCTCTCTAGTGCGGCCACTTCATCATTCAAAGCTCTCTCTCTCTCTCTCTCTCTCTCTCTCTCTCTCTAGGGCAGCCATTTGAGACCCATCATAGCATCTCAGTTCTCATCACTAAGCTCTCCTTTTGGACATCTTCTCACATGGAGACTCTTCAGTGGCCACAGGTGACCATCTCTCTCTCTCTGCAAATTTTTTTTGCATAAGATGCATGGTTGGATTCATGCTTTGTGTGATGGTGAAGCAGATGAAATCAACACGTCTCTCTCTACACTTTCACCCACCCCTTCTTTATTTTGTGTTGATCAGATAAAACCCATAATGAATTACCCCTCTCATACTCCCCCCATCTACTACTGTATATGAACTTATCTCATAATTCTCTCATCTTCTTTTTCATGACATAATTCTTTCATCTCTTTTAAGAAACCTCTCTCTCTCTCTCTCTCTCTCTCTCTCTCTCTCTCTCTCTCTCTCTCTCTCTCTCTCTCTCT